TGTGGATGTATGTTAACATGTTTCATCGGAGCATTTATTTAAGTACTTACTGCAAAAATCATTTACTATGTGCAGGATATCTATACCTCTAATTCTTTCATTTCCTGCTGCTGTGCTTTCATTAAGCTCAAAGGACCGTCTTAAGGTGACTTGGTGCAACAGTCTTATTCCTGTATCTTGTAAATGCATTGTTTATCTTTCATTTTGCTTTTATCTAGTAGTACTAATTAATGATCCAATAACTTATTGAGTTTTAACTGCTAGCTTGAAATTATTATGAAAGCTAGATCTGTAGAAGAGAGAATCAGTAGACAGTTTGGACTATGCCATTATGATTCTTATATTAGGTCTTTCTATTTGTTACTTTAAGGTAATCAGTCTTCTTGTGATTATCTCAGGCTGACGTGACAACAGTGTTTGGTTCAGCTGCACCTCCTCTAACAGTGAATTTGGTGCAAGTTTTCAGTCCTGATTCAGAAGATGTTCCAATCCTAGAGAACAAGGTAAAAGGAATCTCTATTTTGATTTTGTTTGTGGTATTCTTCTCTTCTTTGGAACCCTTTATATGTTGTTTTTAATTGTGTTCTTTACATATGCTATTTTTTTATTATCCAAAGTCCAAACTATGCCATTTTTTTTTTTAATAACAGGAGCTTCAATGTGACCCAGAAAACAGCATTCATTACCTGGATCTCCTTCCACTAAAAGTAGATGTTGGAAAATATATTCTGTTTTTTGAGGTACTTTAGAAATTAATATTGCTTTTTTTTTTGAACCTTTAGTAAATTATTTTTACAATTGTCTATCTGTATCATGACAGATTTCCCTTCATGATCCTGACCACTTGAACATTTATGCTACTGGCGGGCGCATCAAAGCATTTTTCTTTTTTACTGGAATCATTAAAGCTGACAAGGCTGCAGTTGGAATATTTGATACTGACGCTGAAAATGCAGTGGCCTTGCAAAAGTAATGTGTTTTCTGTTTATACAATATGAGTTCATTCACAAGCATTATATGTTTCTGCATCCAACCTCATATCAGTTCGGTTTTTCTCCCTTTTGAATAATTATAATTTGTCTATCTAAAATATCATTACTTATAAAATATAGCTGGAATATAGGTACAATAATATGTAAGTTTTAGTCTGATTCGGATTGACTTGGCTTTTAGTTCAAGCTCTGGATTTTTTTTCAGTTTAATAAAGAATAAAGTCCACAAGTGCATGCCTTCTGTTATGGATCCCTATGACACATCAAAATTAAATATATCTTGTTTTGGACTCATTGATATGGATAAAACTAGACATGTGAAAAGAGAATAGGGTTGACATTCTCCTGTCAGTCAAGTTGGTGAAAAAATGATCCTGAAGTGATTAGGCTTATCACCCATTGCCTAGAAGATACACCTGTGTTTTAGCGCTGATGCACTCTGGACATAATTAATAGATTCTTGGAACAATCCACTCCTGTATATGAAGTTGGCTTCAATCTAGGAAGACCTTTGTGTGTGCTTGTTAATTAGAGATGCTACTGTAGTTGGTTATTTCATAGCAGTTGTTAAAACAGAACAAGAATACTGTCATCAGAAAAGTGGTACTGTATTAAGAATTGAACTATTTTATGATGTTTTGATCTATTTTATGATGTTTCCTGTGGAATACATTCTTTCTTAACATACTTCTGCAAATTGTCTTCTTCTAAATTGAATTGTCAGAGGAATTATTGAATTATTAAACTATCTTCGATTGTATTATTTTCTTTTCACAGGTTAGATTTATCAAGAGACAACACAGTTTCGCTAGCAGCAAATCATTTAAAGAAGATGCACCTGAATTTCCAGCTTTTAACTCCTCTTGGTCATACTTTTAAGCCACACCAGGTGTGCATCCCAACTTCTATGAAAATCTTCTGTGCATTTATTATTCTTGTTTTTGTCTGATGAAGAGTATTTATTCACAGGTGTTTCTAAAATTGAGGCACGAAAGCAAAGTTGAGCACATTTTTGCTTTGGAGAGCTCTGCAGGAAAATATAAAGTTTTACTAGTTAAGTTCGTCTTTGTCTATATCTGTTCCTTTTTTTCATATTACAATCTACTTATCTACTGTTTTTTAGTTTGCATTTTGATGAGATCTTCAGGGTACTTCCGTACGTCAACTGTCTGATGTGGACTCAGGGTGCGTGGAACTGCATTTGGGGAAATGGAAGATAGTTAATTAGAAGAAAATAAGATAAAACGAAGACAATATTTACAGAATCCACTGAAAATGAAGTAATTAATTCAGTAAATTGCAAATAAATATTTTGTATAATAGTGATGTGTTGCAGTTTAAAAATGGCTCCAACTTACCTGCCTTGACGCTGAGGAACTCAAACAGGACATCTGATCTAATTTTCATTATATCTTGAATAGAGTTATGTAGAATAAATCGACTTAAATTGCTACCTTTGACAAAACCAAGTAATCCTAATTCATTCATTATTTTCTCAGGACATGTAAAGAATTACGATAATTCCTGTAAGATTAGATTGAAGATCTAATGGCTTAAACCAAGAATTTAAGTTCCAGCAGCACTGGGGTGTCAGTTGGCCTTTGAAATGGTGTGTTCTGTTCATGTTAATTGGCAGCAGTGTGTCTTGGGAACAAACAGAAAAGAAAGGAATACAAATGAAATAAGCTACCTGAAAAGAAAATGCCAGAAGCAAAATATACATACCTGAGTCCTTGTCTTTCGATGCTGTTTCCCTGCCTCTTGCCACCCACCTACTGAGGAGCTGAGGCAGACTGAATTGTTGAAGGTGGAATGATTCAGCTCTTTCATTATTCCCGAGAAATAATTTTGCTTTACTGATGAAGGTAATGACTGCAAAAGTACTGCAATTTGAGGCTTACTACCACTTTGAGGCTTATCTCTGATTTGGTTGTAACGGTTCAACACTCATCAGTTACACTAAATGTGTTTTTGGAAATTAGTGAATTTGGAGAGTCATACTGTTTTACACTTGTACTGTTGTGTTTTTGTGAGGATATTCCTTTTGTTCTTTTTTATTTTGTGAAGGTCCAAATCACATTTTTTGTGAGCCGACAAATTTGCATGTAAAAGATGGAGACGATACATGACACCTGTACATATGCTTGTCTTTCCGAGCCTTGAAATTCTCAATGCTAACAATGTGAAATTTGCAGGACTTCCTTGGTTTGGTGGAGAAGTTTTATTACCTTTCTGGTAGATATGACATTAAACTTGCTGTTGGCGATGCTGCAATGGTATAACTTATAATATTATAATTAACTGTCCTTTCTAATATGAGTCATGCTGAATTTTTTCATACTATGCAGGAGAATTCATTTCTTCGTGCCATTGGCCACATTGACTTAGATTTACCACAATCACCCGAGAAAGCAGCACCCCCTCCACCACAACCCATTGATCCTTATTTGAGATTTGTGCCAAAGCAGGAGATATCACACATCTTCAGGGCACCAGAGAAGAGACCTCCAGAGGAGCTGTCTTCTGCATTTTTGGTTCTTACACTTCTACCACTTGTAGGATTTCTGATAGGGGTGAGACTTTCCTCTTCCAGTTGGAAATTTACTTGTAATTCATGGTTTTATGTTATCATAATCCTAGTCTTTCTTAACAATATGGTATGGTGTAGCATTGTAGTTGTTCTGAACTCTGTCCAATATATCATATCATAAAAAGTAGCTTGATTTTTCATAATCCAGAATGAAAGAAAAAATAGCAAAAGTAATATAGATGTCCTATAGCTGTGAAGGCAAGATTCATGAATTGACTGTTTCACTGACTGGTTATTTTTCTATATCATTATAGAATTGTTTTACATCCATATGTATGCCCGGCTAATAGCCCCAAGCATGAATGGACTGATTTATCCATTTAGTGTGTCGTCACCCTTATAATTATTGGTTTTCCTTTTCCTGCAGCTGTTGCATCTTGGAGTGAACCTAAAAGGCTTCCCTTCCTCATCTGTGCCTGTTTTTTGCTCTATACTCTTCCATGGTGGCATCGGTGCCATATTGTTGCTCTACGTGTTCTTTTGGTTAAAGGTGCTTTCTTGCTCAGTTCAGGCATGAAGCTTTTGCAATATTTCATCAGCGCATCTTATTGGCATGTTTTTTTTTTCTTTTTTTCTCATCTTTTTGGAACAGTTGGATCTCTTCACAACTCTGGAGGCTCTCGGACTTCTTGGGGTTTTTCTAATCTTCGTGGGTCATAGGACTCTTTCCCATCATGCTTCAACACCAACTAAGCTGAAGACTACATGAAAGGATATGGAAACTGTAGCCTCCATTTTGTAGTTTTCATCAGCTTTTAACTTTGGACAGCGATTCCACTTCACTGAGACAAAACATGAAATCTTCAGCATTTCAACAGGGTTAACACATAGTTATGGACTGACTGGAATTATTGAGAGTAGATTGATTTGAGTGATCAAAGACTTGTCAAATACTTGATGCGATTGCTTGTTAGGAAAGCTGAGATGGCTTACAAGAAGAATGCTTGCAAAATGCACAGTTACGCCCCTCTAAGTAGTTCAAATGTTGATTCTGTAGTCTTCCTTTTCTTTTACAAGAATTTTCTTAAATTATAAGAACCTTGATTAAGACTCTTTCTATTATATTGATGCTCACTCATGTTTGGCATCTTCTGACATGCAATTGGTTCCTTTTGGGTTTGAGTTGATCCGATGCTCTGTTTGAAGCCCTTTGGAATATGTATGTATGCATGTTTGCTAGTCACACAAAGCTTTGGAATGCACCCATGACCATATATACAAAAATAGAAGAATTTTTAGGAATCTTGGTCGAACATAATCAACTTAAACTAATTATTTTAGGAATTAATTTGTGAATTGACCAACTTAACCTATGATACAGAAATTTATTCATGAAAATAATTTTATGGAAAAAAAATGAAGAATTAAGAATTAATAGGAATCTTGATCAGACTTTAAAAGGTATCGATGGAGGGGAAAGCAGACAGCGCGCAGAGCGTCACAGAGTCTGCGGATTTTGGGACGCGTAATAAAGGCCCAAAGTACGATTTCTTTTGCTCTCGTATACGATGGCGAAAGTTCTGTGCGGCGCCACCCGTCGATCGCGTCTCGTCTTCTCGTCGGCCTCCGCTTCGTGGGGTCTTCTGACGAGATGTCCCCTCTCCCCTTGCTTCGGCGACGCGAGGTCGCTCGAGACCCTTGCTTTCGAAGAGATTCAGGCATCGGAGAAGCCCGTCAACTCCACTGCGTTTGTCCTCCACGGCCTGCTCGGATCCGGAAGGAATTGGCGATCCTTCTCCCGCGACCTTGCCGCCCAGCTTCAGAAATCATCTCCCTCTCAAGGTTCATGTTCCTTGCAAAAGTCGTGTCTTTATTCCGTTGCTGTCCAATTAGCAAATAATCAATGCCCTTTAGGTTCGAACGTGGTTTCATTTTGTGTTAATTCTGACCAAAATATTGACTTTCTCTCTCTCTCTCCCCCGCCCCCCCGCCCCCCTCCCCCAACAACCAAATTGTGAATTTCATTTTCTTGGATATTGCAACAATATTTCCATCATTTCTTCTCGGTATGTTTCTTTCCATTGAAAAGTATTGAAATTTTCTTTTATGATTCTCTTGGCTCAGTTCCAATGCTCAGCTATTGAAATTTTGTTCCCTCTTATTCTTATATGATTTTTTTTCCCATTGATATGATTTTATTTCAAGTGTGAATTTTGGTGCATTGCGACTTGGGTAATCATGTATGAGCCACAGAGATACCCCACTATTTATTATCCCTAATTCCGCTTGGATTAGATAGAGTATAGTGCACGGGGCTATCCTGATGTTGTGCTATATTACTTTGTTTAGTTAATGGAATTTTATTTGATTGATGTTTGTATTATGCGTATAGTTTGGAGGATGGTGCTTGTAGATATGAGGAATCATGGTAGATCAGCTGGACTAAAGGGACTTGATCTACCCCATGACATGGTTAATGCAGCAAAGGATTTGGCAAATCTGGTGAAGTCACATGGCTGGGCCTGGCCGGATGTAGTCATAGGCCACTCCATGGGTGGAAAAGTTGCCCTGGAATTTGCAGCCAGTGTTGCTCGTGGGGATTATGGTGAATTAGCTGTTCTTCCAAAGCAGGTACTTCTTTGCTTGGTACACTTATGCGGATGCTCCTGATGTTTATTATACCTTCTTCAAGTTGGATTTTTCTTGTTTATTTAAATTGTAGAATGATCCTATGATATAATGTGGTTTCTTTCGCATCATGTGATTTCTTTCGCATCATGTGATTTCTTTCATGATTCCCTTTTCCAGTGAAATAGGTAGCTTCATAGACCTATCCCTTGGTTCAGGATCAGCCAATTCGATGTCTATAAATAAAATTTTGGTTCTCACTTCTTCAAGAGATTCAATCTTTCTGGATTACAGTATTTCTCTTTTTCTTAGTGAATTATATTGTTCAATTGAAAAGACTTTTGCCTTCTCATCATTTTCTGGTGCAGAACAGCTTTGGGTCTTGGACTCTATTCCAGGAGAAGTAAACTCTGACGAAACTAATGGTGAGGTGGAAAAGGTTTTGCTTACTCTTCAAAGTTTGCCATCTCCATTGCCATCACGCAAGTATGCTCCCTGTTATTAGAAAACTCTGTGATGCCATACAGTGTTTAAATTGCATGACCAAGTATGATGTGTTAGTGAACTGGCTCAAACATGTGAACTAATTAAGCAACTTTTTTACTTTGGTTCGTACTTCGAAAAAAAGCACACCAATACCTTCTCTTAATGGAATTTTTAGGACAGTCCACTTTGCCATTTCTCGGAAAAGATTTATGTATAGGAGGAAATTGCTGTTGAGTTGAATGGCATGCCTCCCTATCTACAAGATAGTAGTAGTTGAGGAGCTATACAAGATCTTGCATCCAGATTGTGTCAACCTGAAAAGAGACTCATTACTTCTTATGTTCATGTTCCAACTAAGAATGCCTACTTGATTCACGTTATTACTTTGTATCATCAAATAGTGTTGCTTTTCTGATTGTAAGAACTAACTCTTGTGTAAGCATTGCTAAAATTTGTGAAATTAGTCATGGTTATGTGATTGTGTACTAGATAATACTGACCAAATAAAATATATTCTGACTTACAATGTGGATGGTTCAAATCCATTTGCAAGTTTGTTGCATATATCACTGGATAGAACTTTAGGTTTATATTATTGATCAGCAGGATCAGAAAAGATACTCCACCAAGCAATCGACTCGTATTATATGCGACTTTGAATTTATCCATTGAGGCCCTATGATCAGGGTTTTTTTTCTAAAATAAACAAAAGCAACTACTTTACTTGCATCCACTCTATCATGGACTTGCTTAACCTTTGTGTCCTGAACATTGAAATTTACCGGACTTTACTCGAGCTATATACTTAATTAGGTCTTTTAATACTTTGTAAATTTCATCTCAAAATCAGGTGGGTTGTTGACCATATGCTGAATCTTGGATTTTCCAAAATGCTCTCCAATTGGATTGGCAGCAATCTAAAGAATGAAGGTGAACATGTAGTATGGGCTTTTGATCTTCAGGCCTGTATAGAGATGTTTGACTCATATCGGTAATGATACTTAGTACCTTAGCATCCAATTTTTGCTCTTTATTTATCGTAGATTATGTTTTCCGTTTTTTGCAATCTCTGAGTACTAAGATGATGGTTGCAGGGAAAAGAGTTATTGGCCTCTATTGGAACACCCACCAAAAGGATTGGAGATCGCTATTGTTCAAGCAGAGAACAGTGACAGGTGGACACAGCATGTGATTGAGCGTCTTGATTACCTCTCTAGAAAGCAAGAGGGACCTGAAGAGGGAAAGATTTCATTACATGTCCTACCTAAGTCTGGCCATTGGGTCCATGTTGACAACCCAAAAGGATTACTTGAGATCGTGGCATCAAACTTCTACTCATGTACCTGAAATTCTATTTTTTATTTTTTTGAATTTAGAAATATCATGATGATGACAGAGAATCTTGTGTTTGACAATGAGAAACTGAAGAACCATGTTTAATTGAGTTACCATATATCGATATTTAAGATGCAAAAATTTTCATCTGAAATTCTGTTAATACTTTCAACATGTTCTATCATTTTCCTTTGCTTTTTGTATATGCTGTTATATGCATCTCATAAACTGATTCGACAGTGTTCACTTGGTTCTTTCATCTCTTCATCCATTACCTAGAATTGCATTGTTCTCGGGCTTCTATGTAATATCATTATTTGTTTGGTTATGTATACCTTTTTGAGTTTCTGGACCAAAATTACTGCAATTAGATTGAATTCAAATTGAGTTGTACACATTTTTTTACTGTTTTTTCAGTTAAATATTGAACCAGTTCTATCATAGCTCTCTCTTACTTGGATTTCTGATTTTATGTTTTTTTTTTACTTACTGTAAATAGATAGGAGTTACTTTAGGTGCTAATTATTTGACTGCATCTTCCATAAAGTATAATTATTTATTCAAAATAGTTTAATCTTACACATTCCAGGTAAAAAAGCTTTTTGCTTGGAAAAATGATCATTCTGCAATAAATCTTTTGACCACAGCTTGTGTGTGTTCTTTGCTTCTACTTTTGAGATGGAAATATCCTTCCTATTTTCCGTTGGCTATTTTCCCACCTTTTTTTTTTCCTTTTACTGCCAACTGCGATTTATCGGCCTCACTTTGTAAACTCCAGGGAATGCTATCGTTCTGCAAAATTTTGGCTCTAGAACTGACAGTTTATTGTAGTGTATTTGATGGCCATGATCTCTTAACTTCATATGGTTGCAAGAGAATTAGTTTTCCGTTGAAGGATCAAAGGAATGTAGCGAGGACAATTCTTGCGAGGTAGGAAACATGTCGTTCTGGTTCTGTCTCAAGCTGAGGTGTTGGGAGGTCAAGACCCTACAAAAAGAAGCTGCAAGGTATACCCAATAACATCTCTTTAATTCTTTAGTTAATATTCATTAAATGTTGCTTTTGCAGCGAGACACGAACAGTTACTATGTTCGACTAGATTACTCTTAGCAATTACATGTTCTTGCAAGGTTTTGCATGCTTACCGGAGCAGCTTATATCAGTTCGATTGCATTCTATTTTATGCCAGGCAACTCGACAGTTTCCTGATGTTGATCTAAATGTCCAAGTTCAAGATCGGGGACCCATTGTAGCAGTTCTTTTGACTGTGGATCTTCAATAAAATCTTCCCAATATGACTTCAACAATCTTAAGATAAATATGATGTAATGTTCATGCATACATTGGACTGTTCTATACACCCTGTTGCAGCTCATGATATTTGTTGCAGAGGCATTAGCAAACACTTGAACAAGAAAGGGCAGAATAGAATATCTATAATCCAACTCAATAATCATATCTTTTAACTTCAGACCATACCATTAACATTTTAGTTATGATCCAATGTCTCTGCAAAATCTAGAACATAGTGTTGAAGTTCATATATGATGCATTGCGTGTGGATTTACATTTGCTCAACTCCGTAACCAAAAGATACTTGAAATAGATTGATTGTGTGCTTCATGCTTATCGGCCATACAATAGACCTAATAACCCTGCCTTAGCTTTTCTTCAAACCTGGTCTTCTCATCCTGCAAATAAGTTGCCCAAAATGAGATGCTATGGCATACAAATTATTACAAAATCTGCATTCTAAACAAATTTCACTAATCAATTCTAAGAATTATATACTGGTATGATATTTAGTAAGGAAGTCATAAAAAATGAACAGTCAGAAAACTGGAGCAAGCTGATTCATATTAAGCAGGAGGAGCATCAAACAAAAGTGCAATAGACTTTGTCGAAGAATAGGATCACACACACATATATGTATACATATATAAATGTATATATAAATATGCACACAGACATATATATACATATATATACATATACATATATGCATATATATATAATCTCAAACACTAAGAAGTGGAAACCCGAATATCATTTAGAAGGAAAAGAAACCATTTAGGACTTCATATCCTTCTAATTAATCCCTAGAAATGCAGTCGATGCAAGAGATTATAATAGAATAACAAAAGGCTTTCCAAATATAACTTACATCATTATCACCATGGTTTGCAACCCATGTCCTTCCATTCAATTCAACCACTACATACCTTTTTATTAAATAAGAGAACATAAAAAAAGAACTCATGGAATTGCGCATATCATGACAAAACACTAAGAAAGCATGTGAACCGGCTCAAACCATCCTCTTAGCATTAAGCAGCTTAAAATGTGCACAAAATATGCCAGAAATCAATTGGTCTTTAGCAAGTACCCCACGTATGAGCAACAGTTAACATATTGACTGTGGGAACACCTTGTGACCTCTTCAGTCATCTGCTGATGGGTGCTGACATTAGAGGTAAACTAGCCATGAGAAAGCTAGCCTACCAAACAACCTGACCACTAGTTTTTAAAATTATTTAGAATCTTTCTCTCCCACCAACATGTCTGTGTCGTTAAAGCATCGACATAGAATCGGCAAAGCACTTGATGACAACACGTACCATGCGAACTGATTAACACGTGGAATGGTAGAGGAATCCTTGGTTACAACAACATTCCATTGTTGACAATCAATAGGGTGGTTGAAAGAAGGAAAAGAGAGTCAAACCCAAACACACTGGCACCATTTATAGATTAATTCGTTTGAGAACAAGCAATTCCATTAAAACTGAATTGAGTATTGGGATATCTTCAGCAGTTATCTTATCCAGGATTTTGAGCAATGGCTCAAATCGAGCAGTTATCTTCAGCCATACAAGTTTGATGCGCAGTGGGATAGTAGAATTCATAAAACAGATGGACTTTCTGCTGGAAATTTACTCGTTGTTTAGCACTTTGATAATGGATTAATCTAGACTTGATTCTGTCACACATAATAAATTGCCCCAAGGACTTGTGAAAAGATCTTCTTTTCTATAAAGTGTTCTAGAAATAAACTATAAAAAGCACATTATAAAATATGCTCTCCTATATGCATTAGATGCAACATACTAAAAATAAAAAATGACTACATATAGCAAAAATTACAGATTACAGGTCTTGATACAGGATTTAAGAAAATGTTCCATATCATTGAGTTCTTCTCAAGGAAATCCAATACATGAATAACATCACGCTTTGAGATGTCAAACATCTTGAATGATACAGAAATAATCCGAATAAAAAAGAAGAGTGAGAACCGAACCTCAAAACCCTTCTTCAGATAGTCAAGCTCCTTGTCTAGGTCGTCGATTGCCTGACTATAGGCCTGTGTCGGGGAAGACTGGCTGGTCGTTTGGATCTGTGGGCCACAAGGACATGTTAAGTAGAAAATCGAGTGAAATGCTGCAACCCATTCTATGGGGAGATAAAGAAAAAGAGTGAGAGGCTTACCCTAACTATGATCTTGTACTGGAGGGGATGCGGAAGCTTGTAGCCAGCGAAGAGAACAATGGGGTCTCTATGCAGCTGCCTGCAGGCACAATATAAGCGTCCAATATAGATTTATATATAAAAAACGAAACAAAATTCCATGAAAGACAACTTTTTTTTGGTTTTCAGAGAAAGAAAAAAGGAGAGCGGCAGAAGGTACTGTGTGTGGACATTCGGAGGATGTTTCCGATCGTGTGATCTTCGCGCTCAACAGTGAAGGAGGCCGCATTGACGATCTTGGTGTCCCTCTCATACGAAACCCTAAAATTTTCTCCCCACAGAAGAAATAGTACGGGATTAAGACACCAAAGAATCGATGATAAATCTCGCACATAACAAGTTCATCGAGAGTCCAATCGGCCAGTGAAGATGTTCTACATCACGAAAATAAATTAATCTAAACAAAAAGAAAAGATCGATCAAGAAATTAGGATCGAAGGACAATAAAAAGATTGCATCTTGTGCTTACTTCTTGGTGCCCTCGGGCACGACGAAGCGCTCGTAACGATCCGGAGCGTTCATCCTTCTCCTCTTCCTTCGTCTGTTCTATTCCTCGCCTTATCGCCCCCGTCTGCAACTTTGACTGGGAGAAGACATTTCCCATTAGGGTATTGTTAATTGGACTTGTGTCGGATCCGAATCGGAAAATTAAGAACTCGGATCGGGTTTCAATCGGGGACAGATCCGGTGAACTTTACAGGTATTCTGTTCGTTCTCAACAAACGGATCAGTTGTTTTCGTTGTTACCCGATCCGTTTAAATCGGATCTAATCGGGTTTTTCCGTTCGCCTCCGAGGGAAGAGCGAGTCTGTTCTCTGTTTCTACCATGTTTGTCTTCTAAGACTTCTTTTAGATCTCCAAACCTCCCAAGTTGAAATCTTGATGCGATTTAATGGCTTGTCTTCTGGTTTTGAACATTGGTAACGTATCAAGTTGACTTTTTGACGTTGATTCTGAACTTCCATGGCTGCCAAAAGGTTCTTCGCTCTGCTTTTCATCGACGTTCTACTGTCCCCGGTTTCGATCGTGTTCAATTCGTACTCGCCCAATCTGAAAGTTCATCTTTTTATGCTCAGCACCACCATTTGATCTGGAACTTGGTACATGTATCTGCTCGGAGAGAAGATATGGTGCCAAAAGGAGACGGATTCGTACATGCACGGACGGATTCATCCCGCCATGTCTGCCTCACCAGCCTACTGACCTGAATTTATTTCCCTGCCCCTCGCGTTCTGCTCTCCCCTTGCAGCTTGCCGCTCCTCGCTTCCGAGACCTGCTCCTTCGTCCGCTCGCCCCTCCGAGACAATATCCGCCATTGCCGACGACGCCGCCGCCATGGAAGCCGTCGCTGATGATGCCGCCATGGACGCCGTCCAAAGGCGCCTTATGTTCGAGGACGAGTGAGCCCCTCTCCCCGTAACCCTCTGTTTGGTACCTCTCCTCTTAGATCCATGCGCCTGACATCGATTGTGGCTTGCTTTCTCTCCTTTTGTGCCGTTTTCTTTCGTCTTTTACTGCGAAATGAGCAGGAAATTGTGGTTCTGCAGAGTTAGTATAATGTAGCTCAGTGAATGCTATTAGATTGTGCAGATAACGATTTGTGGCAATAATCTGTCAATAGATTAGTAATTGAAATGAGATTGAAGTAGAAGAACCTTTGTAACACCGGAAGCATTTTGAATCTCAACATTTGGAAGCATACAGAGAGGCTACAGGATTGAGGTTCCATTTTGATGCCACTTCTATGTGACTACATTGGTTTAACATCATAGATGAACTGGCTCAACCAGATTTTTGCCTTTGCCAGATAACTTATAGGAGCAATGTAATGATCTTTAGACATCAATTCCTCACTTTGCGACTCCATTGTTCGTTGAATTTAGCCACTGAAACAGCTTGTACGGACATTGATCTGGCATTCTGACTCCTACAGCATTACTTCATATCCTTCTGTATCATACACATACTGTATTGCAAGTGCTTGTTGAATAGTTCTGAAGAAGAAACAAGTATTTTCTTTTGGATACATCTGCCTTTGTTATAACAATTAGCAAGCTTATCAACTATACATCCTCGTGTGCATATATACATCTCAAAGACTCAAACTAATCTCATGCTTTGTATCTTAACTATGCTGGTATATGTATGAGCTTCTCTGACAAATGTAAACTTCACTTTTCTGTGCGTGATGCAGATGCATTTTGGTGGATGAGCAAGACAACGTCGTTGGACATGAATCTAAATATAACTGTGAGTGTTCGACAACATATTTCAGCTAATTTCGCCATGCAAATCGTTTTGTGGATTATGTTCAAGAAACAAAGTTTCTTGGCTTTGATGATGCCTCAAGTTCTAAGACAAAATTACTCCCTGAGCATCTTTGTGGTTACCATGTTTGGGCTGAGGAAGCTGCCTCATTTGGGGTTGTTTTATTATAATTATGCTTCTGCCCTTCAAGATCAGATATTGCTTGCATTCAAAGGAAGCCTTTAGTTTAAGAAATTAGTTGGCTAACCATACAATTCAGGTTTTCATGTTTCCTTTTGACATATAAGCATTGTATACTTAGCTGGGGTGAATTCTATAATACGCATGAGATATCTCATGTGAATTGCTAGTGCCTGTGTGTAACTGCGGCTGAAACTTGATCGACATACTACTAGTTTAGTTTCTTTCCAAGTGTTCAACAAAAATGCATGGGATTATCTTTCGTATATGTAGGACTTGTCTTCTACTTGATGCATGTAAAATCTCATGAATTTTATAACCAGAGTATCAAGAGAGTATAAACAACTCACTAGTCGCTGGATTTGCAAGCTGATATGTTAAGGTAAGGAATGAATGGAAGATTTTATGTATGAAATGAGCTAAAAATGTTTAATTACTTGAGAGTATCTATAGCTCAGTGATTTAGTGTTCTGTTAGTGCCAAGTTTGTGCTACAAGAGAAAATTTTGACAATTACTGTAGGTCTATAATTGTAAGAAGAAACACAGATATCTCAAGACGTAAAAATAAAATCAATTCATGTTTTTCTTCACTAATTTGTGAATGTTTATTGCAGCCTGAGTTCTCATTGAGGATATAGACCAGCAATATATTGTTCATTTGTAATGCTCACGTTACTAATCATTTTTCCAGTCGCTAATCCCTCTGATTTTATTGGTTGCTGTTAGTGTTCTGAATAAAGACATACTGCTATATTGTCATACTGACCTTTGATCATCTATTGTTCTTTAGGCCATCTGATGGAAAATATTGAGTCTCAGAATGTGCTCCATAGGGCTTTTAGTGTTTTTCTCTTCAACTCAAAGTATGAGTTGCTACTTCAGGTATGTATGCGATACATAATAAATCATGCTTCTTGCTGCAAAGAGTTTGAAAATTATGTATATCGATAAGAAATCAGAATATGTTATAGTTAGCAAAAGATCTACATTGTTAAATCATCTACTTCTTTCTCCATCATGTTTATATCAACTTCAGTCAAATCGCATGTAATGCTGATTATTCATGTCAGAGTTGAAACTTGATGTCGCGCTGGAGATGCTACAAAATAGCTGATATCCATAAACTTAAATCACTTAGAAAATACACAGAAATATCATCTTTGTGTCTTAGAATGAGCTTGCCAGTTCTGGTTCAAATTTGATTTGTTTTCCCAGCAATTGTGGTGTCTTCATTAAATTTTTGTTCTTGCACTGCCCAATGATATTTAGAAACTTATTTAAAAGGCCAATTTTATGTGAGAACAAGTCCTACCTGCGGATATTCGAAACATGAAGCAGTATCAATAACTTCAAAGCTGAATTATGTACAGAACACCACATCATTGTTCATGTGACCTACAACTCTGGTGTTAAACTGTTCACACCACTATATTTTATCTTTCCCATGCAAATTATAGATAGGATGCCGATGCGTTGATGCCCGATGGATGCTTATCCTATCTAGGCCAGATCTGGACATCGCTTTTGTTTCACGAGAAATATATATACAGCCAAGAAAACCATGTCATGCATACAGGGTGACAGCCTTACTCACTGGGTTCTTTTTCTGCACTCCTTGTTATATAGCTGCATGATTTCCGTGAGTAGCAAACATGACATAATTTGAATTCCACAAAGCTGCTGTCCGAAGTTGATCACCCTACTGTTGTATGTATCGGACATGCTTCACGTTCTGATGTCTCTGTCCTTGAAACTTTTCGCAGCAAAGGTCTGCAACAAAAGTAACATTTCCATTGGTGTGGACAAACACCTGCTGCAGTCATCCTCTTTATCGGGAATCCGAACTTGTCGAGGAGAACTTCTTAGGTACAATTTCGCATAACCTCCCATCTTATTCTGACCTACTAAAGGCTGATACCACAACATCTCTTGTTGCCAGGGGTCAGAAACGCTGCACAAAGGAAGCTATTCGATGAACTCGGAATACCCACAGAAGACTTGCCTGTCGATCGATTCACTCCTGTCGGTCGCATGCTCTACAAGGCGCCATCTGATGGAAAATGGGGGGAGCACGAGCGTATGTGCTCGCCATAGGCCTTCATTTATCGAATGAGTTATCGTTGGATTTAGTGTCACAGCCTGATGAAAGTGTTTCTTGATCTCAGTGGATTACCTGGTCTTTGTGGTTGCTGATGTGAAGCTGCTTCCCAACCCGGACGAAGTCGCGGATGTCAAGTACGTCAACAGGGAGCAGCTGAAGGAGCTGCTGGAGAAAGCAGATGCCAGCGAGGAGGGTGTTAAGCTTTCTCCCTGGTTTAGGCTGGTGGTCGATAACTTTCTGATGAAGTGGTGGGACTGTGTGGAGAGCGGCACTCTGCCGGAGGTAGCAGACATGAAGACCATTCATAAACTGGTTTAGGAATTGTTGGACGATGTGATGATCCTGCGGAAACTGAGGGAACTCTGATAAAATAGTGTTGACCATGCGGAAGTAGTTTATAATATGTATCCTGCCCATGGCGTTGACTGTGGACAGTTTAATCTTATCAAATTTGGTAAATGGCCGATGGTGGGTAGCATTACAATAACCCCATCCCCATCCCCGTCCACCACCACCATCACTACCAGAAGGTTGAATAAGCCTTTTGTTGTCACTACAATTTCTAAAATAGTTTATATATATTATATATTATACATTATATATATATAATATCAATTCTTCTTTTCATAAATTGTCAACAGGAGGCCTTAGCCTCCAAAATGTGTTTTAAATTCCAAGCCAAGACATTTTAAGATAAAAGAAGAGGTAATATAGAAACTACAAGTGTGAAGTTTGGTCACATTTTTCTAGTTATGTAATAAAAAACAATCTCAAGTTTCTCCTGCTGAAAAAAGATTAACACACAAAATAAGGGAAAAACTAAAATTGTGGATGTAGACAGCATGGCCTGAATAAGTAAACAAAGATTAAAGAAGCAAACCCAATATGCAATTTAGATGGGAGAAATAAAATGTAATCCCTAGTTTTAACCAACCCTCATATGTTAATTCAACAGAAACAACTTCTCTGCCCAAGTCATTAAGATTTTTTATCTACATTCACATTTCCTCCTTGTCTAAATTAGTGAAGCAAATTGTCTATTTAAGATGGTGCTGCTAGAGGTACAAAAAGTTGAATGACAGATGGGGAACGCAAGAGCTTTGCTTTAAATACCAGAGTGGAATGTTGCACAGACCCCATTTTGAGATGGGGTAGCTATTTATCATAATACAGACAGGAATACACCAAAAAGGTATGCACACACAGGCAGCAAACTTCTATACTGTGGTAATTTCTGGAGCAATGGCGCTTGGGGTTGGTATTAGAGCCAACATTTGGTTTTTAATGATCACCATGCATGTCTCAATCTCCCTGTAAATTGGAAGATTATGAGGAGAATGTGGTTGCAAACTGGTTATTGCAGAATCAAGAATCTGGGCAATCTCAGCGGGTGGGTACTGTCTCTCTGTACAACTCTGCAAAACCAATCAAGTTGAATATATGATTTTTTTTTTTTCAAAAAGTGAAATAAAGCGTTATGAACATAAGATTTGACCTTGCATGTGTTAGTACATTACACATAGATAGATGAGTGAAGAAAACAAAAGTGCTAGTACAGTAGTAATTGAGGCATATTTCATGTCAAGGTGGCCAGAAAAATGTCAGCTACAAAATCCTAGAATGGTATGTAAAAGGCAAATAAGTTAACAAACACTGTCTAATTTACATGTTTGGTAGTGCTTCGGTAGTAATCAGTCAGCTTTTATGTACAAAAACAACAACTTGAGAGTTGTAGACAAAAGTCAAAAACCATCTAGACACGGTGACCTGAAGGAACATGTGGCAGTGTAAATTGATGGAATGACTCTCCGGAGACGATGTATCCAAATTAAAATCAGAAACGGAGATCTCTGGAAGCCAAAGAAAATTGGGTGTGTTTTAGTGGTGTTAGTTTCTGTAAGATCTTCTAAATGTGGCTGATAAAATGACAATGAGAAAAAGATACCAATTCAGACACAAATTATTAAAACAACAGAAAAAAAAAAAACCAATTTAAAAGCAAATAATTAGAGTCTCAGAGGACTCGGGCTCCAATTAAACTATTTGGAGTTGGCAGTTCAAATATCCTTGACCATTAAACTTGAGCCCGAGTCTGTAGGAGTTCAAAATAAAGAAAAAGCCAAACATTTAAATTATTATCTACTCGAAGCAGGTAGGATAACTAAGGAGTATACACCAATAAAGTCCTACCAACAAATTTACCTGTATCATGAGAAGTGTAGACACACACGATGAAATTAACTCGGAAGGAAGTTGAAGATCAGCATCAGTTGAGCTGTTCGGCTTTGGTGCATGAACCGTTGGCATGTCAGACGTGCTTGCTGTGTGATCCTGATTTGCTGTGTTATTATATCCTGGATTAGGAGCCCCATGTACTCCCAACATACAAGAACCAGAACCAGAACTGCGATTATTTGCCAAATCTAAAGCCTGTCCTATTTTAGTAAAAGCATCTTCTCCTTCCTTCAGTGTGCACATTGCCTGAGAAGCACATCAAAACAATAACTATGCTCCATAAACAGACTAATGAGACTAGAGATTGTGATCAATCAAAAATTGAGGGCATAAAAGCTAGTAGCAAAAACAATCTGATAAAACCATAACAAGGTTAAGGTCTTCATTGTCCAATCAGCATAAGTTATGCAGCAAAAACCGAGATATCTTCATATACCTGCACAGCAGCATCAACCATTGTCCTTGCTTTTTGCCTACAAGTAATTTCCACTACATGAGATCCCAAATCCTGATTGAGTACAGCAGATGGATTGAACAATTCTGAAGGTCCAACAGGTACTCCTGAATTTTCCATTGGCCTATTCCATGGATGTGTTGAATTATTATGGTACGTGTTACGTTGTCTCAAGGAGAGCAAGGCAAGAGCAACCTGAAACCCATAGAAACAGTTCAGATTATTGCCTGGGGGTATGTCCTTTGAACATTAAGTGGATATAAGTCCTACAAAGATGCTTACCTGATCATTAGCATCTCTTAGTTGAACAAGCACCATTGCATACTGCTTTCTGAAATGCTCCATATCTTTTATGGGATCACCATCCTTTTGCTTTTCTGATACTTCTCCATTCATATTCCTCAGTTCTATCAACAAAGCTTCCTACAAGTGCACCAAAATCCATTAACATCGAGGTTCCTAAAAACTAGAATAAGTAATTAATAATAAGTAATGAGATATAGGGGTACGAGTCACTGCAAGCTTCCCAGAGTGTGCTTGGATGATAAACTAGACTCCATAATCAGATTAAAAACTTTAATGTAGCAAATGTCCAGTTTGGTTTTATGTGATTATTTTCATTTTAAGAATTCTAATGAGAAACAAGAGTGATTAGAGGCTAGACCATAGAGCCTCTCCAAACAATTTCCAGTTATTAAGCTTCCACAATGGCAATAGGGTTGAGATTAGAGTTATGAGAACTATGATTTCAAATGCTAGTAAGACAAGTATGTACCAACAAATGTTTTTATAGATCTAAGGACTGTTATCAGACCATATGGCTGGACACCGGGCAGAATTTATTTTTATTATTATTAAAATGATATAGTGTGGTATAGCTCGGTATACCTCCAGATATACTGGTGCCATATCAATCTAACAATGTGTTGAAACCAATATCGAAGCGATAATTTAACCAAGAAAATAACTACCAATTTGAATAAAAGTTACATGCTGTATATCATGATAATCATCATAGTTTGCACTTGGCACCAAGTAATGGGTTCAGTTATACTAAAATCAACTATATATGGTATTGGCTAATGTACAAGATAATTGCAGTGAACCAAAATAAACCCAAACACTGGGATGTTAATTTTTTAAATCAAGATGGAATTTCTGCAATCTTAGGCGTAAATCAGAGAAAGTGGTATGTTCCACACATCAACCTGGAGGTCCATACAGACAGATGTATAGTCCAATAGCAGATTAAAATGTCAACCATTTCAAGCACATAAGACAACTGCAACTGAGTACCTGTAGCTAGAGGATGTTAACCTACATGGTGGGCAAAAAGAATGAATTACTGCTTCTGTTAGATTTTGAATGAAGCAACATGGGACATATTCCAGTCAGTAGCCAGCTCGAACAAGAGTCCTATAAAGCTCAGTTTCATCAAGGAGACATACAAGTTGGCCCCATGGTGTGTGGTGATGATATAGAATATCCATGAGGAAAGGTTATTACAGGAAACCCAGCAGAATAGAAAGGATCACACTGATGTAAAACAAGTGAAGGAAACAATACTATTGAGCAGATCAACAAGATGAGTTTCATCAAAAAGGTTCTCACTAAAAATGGATGCATGCTACTGAAAAATCTCTTGCATGCTCAAGCTGAAATTTCTTTTATATGGAGTACCAAGTAACCAGGTTATAAGCATGATTTTTATATATGGATATTGGATCCCGTAGTTGTCATTGGCCAGATTAATATGGATATGTTATGTACCGTCATACCCAACATTGCATCCATATACTGGTCAGCACCAAGGGGGCGAGTAGGAGGAGATGAAGATGAAGATGAAGAAGATGAGGAGGAGGGGGAGGAGGAGAGGAGTGGAAAAGGAAGAAGAGGAGGTGGAGGTGGAGGTGGAGGTGGAGGCGGAGGCGGAGGCGGAGTAGGGGCACTAGGAGGCAGAGGAGAGGAGAAAAAAGAGTACCGAGCAGGCAGGCAGTTGGAAGCAGTGGGTGGTGGCAAGCAACACCAGGCGAATGAGAACCGGACGATCGGGAGAGAATGAGAAAAAGAGGGGTACTAAAACCTAAATAGACAAGAATAACTGTCAATTTTTTTTAAAAAAAGTCCAAACTGGATGGTAAGTTCGGACTGGACTGCCAGAGCACAAACCCTTCGTCCACGTGTCAATTCAACCTCGGACTAGTAAATACCACCCAGAGTGGTGCAATCCAAGCAAGATTTTGAAACATCATTATACATATCACAGATTCTCGAATATATGCCCAAGAATTGTCAATCCAGAACCCCACAAAGAAAAGGGGTCTTGGTACACAAGTGGTCCACAGATCAGCCAGACTGTCCTTTCAATCCTAAGCCACATAGTACTGGTCCAAATATTGCATAAAACTGTGTTTAAAACCACAGCAGCCTTGTAGATCAACTGCAGCAACAATGGAGAGAGGAGGGGAGGCTGAAGAGTAATACAACTGAATTATAAGATTTAATGTTTTCAATCAGGTTTCATCTTCTTCAACAGAATCATATCTCCAAGAAAAGATAGAGGAAAGAGAGAGAAGAGGGATAAAAAGGAACTATGGAGAGCAAAAAATTTATAAATCAATTTGTGATGCCTCTAGGGGCCTATAATACTATTATTTAGAGTGTTTGCTCTCTTAATTTTTTAAGCAATGAAACTAAACTAGAGCTTCAGGTTACTAGAGTACTATGGTTTGCACCACAAACACTGATATGTATGTATTTTCATCATTTTTGGA